TCTTATCTTTTTATTGTCCAATATCTATTCGATCTCCATGACAACTGAGCAGACCCCATTAGCTGACAAAGACTGTGATATAGTTGACAATCTTTTTTTTTTTTTAAATAAATACTGCACAGTTTCACCGGTAGGGCGTATCAAAAGACATTCAATTGATATGACAATCAGTTTTAATTGGACCACAGTATGCAATGTTTGGCAGTCTTATGTGGACTAATATTAAAACATGATGTACAGTGTTATAACTTAGCTTTAACTAGCAGTAAATACATATCTTTTGCAAGTGTTGTAAGTAAAAGTGCTAAAGGGAGAGAACATCACAGTTTACCTCTGAGTTTCTCCCCTGTCGTTCTTCAAACCCCCTTGTCTGACTTTCCACCCGGGATAGAACATTATTTACCTCTGAAAGGATCAAACAAAAATATAAAAGAGTCTCTGCCATGTGTGCTTTGAGAGATTTCTTCACTCTGTTCAGTTAAGTGTTTTGGATGTCTCTGTACTCACCCACGTAGACTGACCCAGGGTAATACATGGTGACATAATAGGGGTCCTCTGGCTCCTCCATGATAAACGCTCTGCCTGCTGGTGGGTAATCTGGTGTGTGTGAAGAGAAGGCTGTTGTTGTTGTTGTTGCCTGGTCTGGCCTCTGGTACGCTGTGCGCTGCAGCGGCAGGTCAAAGACCCCCTTTGATCTGATGCCAACACTGTTTGTGTTGAATGGGCAGTATTTCTCTGAGGGGTATTCTAGTAGCTCTGCGGGCTTCCCATGAAGGCCAGATGGTGCAAAAATATCCGTTTGATTTGACATGCAGAGGTTCATCTCTTTGTGTTTGTGTGAGATAGTATCATGTGTTGAAAGAATTGTTTTTGATGTTGCACACTCAATAGAAGCAGGTCCAGATGCCTTCTGTGTCTGAGGTGCCACCAGACATGTTTTAAATTGATTTAAACTGTGAGAATCTGTTTCACGATCAATGTCTCTTGACTGGCAGCTGTAATCCTTTGAAACACAGATGGACTGATTTACTGGGAGTGGATCCTTCCACCAGAATCTGTGTTTCTGATGAGAGGCCCTGGTGGTTTGTGGAGAGAGTTTAGATACATTTCCTGTAGCTGTCTGTATGTTGTTTTCTGTTTTAGGTCTCCTGAGATTAGACAGAAATGTTGCATCTACTTTTGTGTCTTTGCTCAAGTCAAACAGTCTTCTCCTTTTCTCAATAGTGGGTGACTGATTGGGGAGAGGCTCTGTGGAAAAGGAGATTTTTGAAGTCATTGCATTTCTGTCAGAATACTTTAGTTTGTATTCTTCATTGGAGGCGTAATTCCTCCTTTGAGGGTAGTCTTCTGTACGCTTCCTGTGAAGGTTCAGGCTTGACTGAGTTGCCAGCACATCAAACGCTGACTCTCTCTGAACAACTTTAGCAAACCTAATCCCTTCAGACTCTGACAGAGACGTTTGTGTACCTCTCGCTCCACTTGGCAAAAATCCCTGTTGCTTTTTGATGTTTGGCTTTGGTTTGGGGATTGCAGTATTGTCTATATTCCTGGGTGGAGGCTTCAGTTTATCTTGAGCAATGTTTTCTCTTTTACTTAAACCAGCATTGCCTTGCATTAGGCAGGAACTCTGAGAAAGGGCTACTTGTGTCTGGGACTCAGAGTTAGTCTGATGTCGGGATATGGAACAAGCTGTTCTCAAGGCAGGATGAGTAAAGTCCACTAAAGCTTCTTGGTCAAGAATGTCATGCTTCGCCTCATCTGATGATCTATGTTTGACGGAATCCGGCTCCACTGTAGTATTAGATATGGTAATCTGTCTAGCACGTCTTTCTACACCGACAGGAGATGGCGTCTTACCTCCTCTGCTATCTAAACTCACCCCTTGGCACAGGGAGGTCGGGGATGGACTCAGTCTGGGAGTTGGGACAGTCAGAGTTGGAGATACACTCAGTTTAGGATGAGGTTGTTGCAGGAATAATGGAGAGGGATCTCTGAACTGTGAGGCAGGGAGATGAAGAGAATCACTTGGCTTTCGTTTCAGAGTGGGAGAGGAATTTGGCTTTGGTGCAGGGACAATGGAGATGCTCGGCTTTGCAGAAAAAATTGGAGAGCTGCACGTTTTGGGCTTAGCTCTTGGGAGGGTTGAAGCTCTTTCTCCATGTTTTCCCTCTGAATGCGGACATGATTTACCCCAAAAAGGCTGAGTGGATGACTTGGGAGAACAAATTGGGAGAAATGATCTGCAACCACAAGAGGGGAGAAAAGTTGTAAATCAAAAAATGAATTCAGCACAATATTATATTACATTAAACTGAGAGTCAGCTGATATACAGCTTCATTTACCTGTCACTGTTTGGTTTTGTGTTGTGTTTCTCATAGATGAGTCCCTTCTCATCAAATGACGGGATTTGAATGGCTTTCTTTGTGATGACCGGTGAAGAGAGGGGCGGAGGAGGAGACACACAGATTGATGGATTTTTGTTTGTTTGTCTGGAGGATGCAGATACTTGAGGGATCAAAGGTGCTGGACGATCAAAAACACTCATTCTGTTGTAAATTGCGAGGAAAAAGGTTAAAAATAAAGATTGATGGGAGTGTTGAGATTTGACAGGTTTTTTAAATATATTAAAAACAATTATACCTCTTAACATTTTGCAATCTGGTGGATCAAGATACTTTATCATGTAAAACCTCAAAATTAAAAGTACTACATTATAAGAAGGCATTGCATTCAGATTAGTTAAAACACTAAACATATTCAAGTATTAATTAAACAAGATGTTGGCCCCTGTTAGGGTTACCATAATGTGTTTTACAAGATTGTTACCAATGCAATAATAATATCAAAGCAATAGTGTTTAGATGGCAATTTTTGGCTGTAGCTATAAGAGAATGAGCCAGTATTTTCTATTTTAGATACTTGTAAACTATAACAATGCAATTGTGTGTTTTTAAATAGAATTTAATTATGCAAAGTTAGATGCTACTATATGTACATTTAAACTGCCGTTTCCCTTAAGAAGTGTAGTGGGGTAAAGAAGTAACATATACATATGTAAGTACCTTAAGCTGGTTGTTAAGTACAGCATCTAAATAAATAAACTATGTTACTTCAAACAATCTGAAAGCATCAGTTATACGGTAAGACTAACCCTAATTCCACTACATAACAAAACTGTACATAAGATTAGTTAAATGAGGGAAACATGCACTAACCTGCTGTCTGAAGCAAACTGTGTTGTTGACACACTCAGTTGGTAAATTAGTCAAAGAGTGCGAGACGGGGAACTCGGCAGTAGGAAGTGGTGGGAGCACAAGTGCCATTCTCTCCATTCCTCGACACTGAAGCTCCAGTGTTTCTCTCCCACTCTGGTCTCTCCTCTTTTCATGGGACGTCTGTGAAGGCTCCATGTGGTGTTGTTGCACTGTTCTGTCTCTCTACAATGCAAATCAGCCGTGGGAAAGTCGGCACAATTTAAAATGTACTTAAAAGTGTCATAAGTAAAAGTATCGGGCATCTGATATTATCTAATATCCCATTATAACATTTTAATAGTCATGCATATAATTGTAAGGACAATTTTACGGTTGCAAAATACAACGTTCTGCTAGACAAATTAGTGTTCTTATTTTCCTCTCTTTTGGACCTCCTACACTTATTTAAATAAAAACAAAAATATTTACTCTTTTTGGTGAAACTTCCAGCAACGTTTTTATGAGCTCATGTGTTTTTAATGTAAACTCTAAATCTGAAAAGCAACTAGTAACTTCAGCTGTCAGATAAATGGTATACAGGACTGTCTCAGAAAATTAGAATATTGTGATAAAGTTCTTTATTTTCTGTAATGCAATTAAAAAAACAAAAATGTCATACATTCTGGATTCATTACAAATCAACTGAAATATTGCAAGCCTTTTATTATTTTAATATTGCTGATTATGGCATACAGCTTAAGAAAACTCAAATATCCTATCTCTAAATATTAGAATATCATGAAAAAGTATACTAGTAGGGTGTTCAACGAATCACTTGAATCGTCTAATTAACTCGAAACACCTGCAAGGGTTTCCTGAGCCTTGAAAAACACTCAGCTTGGTTCAGTAAACTAAATCACAAGTATGGGGAAGACTGCTGATCTGACTGCTGTCCAGAGGACCGTCATTGACACCCTCCATCAGGAGGGTAAGACACAAAAAGAAATTTCTCAAAGAGCAAGCTGTTCACAGAGTGCAGTTTCAAAGCACATCCACAAAAAGTCTGTTGGAAGGGGGAAATGTGGCAGGAAACGCTGCACAACCAAGAGAGATGACCGCAGCCTTAACAGCATT